GCACAAATGGAGTGACAGAGCACATAACAGTGACAGACACACAGCAACACAAATACAGCAGAACCAGTGAGATGCGTGCACATGTACACAATGATAGGCACCCCAGTACAAAAAGGCACCCCAAAGACTACAACAGGTACAGACAGTGACAGGCACACACAGTGACAGAACAGAACAATGACAGATACACAGAGGGCAATGAGAGACAGTGACAAATGGTGACATACACACATGCATAATGACAGCGATAGTACACAAAGTGACACAAATACACCAACATCAAACAGTGACAAAACAAAACCTCAGTGGCAGAGAACACATAGTGACAGACAAGCATACACATTGGGACAAGTACAGCAACATGGTACAGTGACAGACACACACGCAGTGACATATACATGCCAGCACAGTGACGCAATTGCTGTGACAGAACACAGCAACAGTGACAGAGGACACAATGACATACACACACAGAGGGCAATGACAGGCATTGACAGACGTGGACACAGACACACACACTAACAAGTGGAGCAGAGACACATCACAGAGGGACACGTGAACTGGCAACATAAGAGACATTGACAGTGAGATGCTAAAACACCAGTGACAAAAATACACACACACACACACACACACACACACACACACACACACGTAAATGAACCAAACTGCTGGCTCCTGGGGGTACCACCCTCCTCTCCTGTGCCAGGTTGTGGTGGGGAGTGGGGGGTAACTTTGAGGGCTTGATAATTTAAGGAAGTTGTGTGGCTGCCACCCTGCCCAACTCTAAAATAGCATGGAGGTTAAGGATAGAAACTCTGGAACAGGAGACTGTGGTTCAAATCCTGGCTGGTCAATCATGATCTGTGTGACCCTCTCTAACTATCACCTCACATCTTTGTTTGCACCAACAAGTTACAGGGGTAATAGGGAGGATTGAGTGAATTGAAGGCGTTCCCATAATGCAGGGCCTGTGGGGAGCACCCTCTCTCGGCCACCTAGTCTAGCTGGACCTCTAACTCACAGCTGACCCTGAAGGGGGTGCTTTAGAGACTGTAAATCAGACAGGAGGAGACTGCCCACTTTCCTCCCTTGGAGCTGCTGGTGAATTCGAACTGCTTACCTTTTGGTCTAGAAGCATGACTCACTGTAGGCCACATCACCAGAGCTCCAGGGGGAAACACCATTATTATGGTTGTTGGGACCCCTTGAGGCACAGTGGATTAAGCACTGACCAGCTCACTGTGAGCTTGCTTAGAGGTTCAAATCCACTAAGCAATTTCCAGGAGAAGGATGAAGCTTCTGTACTTGTAGACTCGGAAACGCTGGGCGGGGGGCGGGGGCAGTTCTACTGTCCTGCAGGTTCACGGATAGAGTCAAAATCAACCTGATGGCGGGGAATTTGGGGTTTGAGTGTTGTGAGGTGCCACTGAATCGTTTCTGACTCCTGGTGGCCCCATGTGACAGAGTAGACCTGCCCCATAGGGTTTTCTGATGTTCCAATCTTCACAGAAACAGATTGCTAGGCTTGTCTCCTGTGGATCCTCTGAGGGGATTTGAACCAACAACCTTGCACTTATCAGCCATATCCTTCACCATTCTGCACCTGGGCTCCTTAGCTATTCAGATGCTCTGTATCGTGCCCACCTGGGGTCTTTCCATGCAGGCCTCCCTCTGCCCAAAGCTGAGCCCCTGACTCAACCTTGCATCTCTTCCTGGAGACCCCTCCCTTGAACCACTAAGGTCCAGCCCCTCACTCCCAGATGTCCATCTCCATGACTGTCCCTCTGTCCCTGAGCCCTGGCGTCCCTATGTCTGTCCATGCATCTTACATTGGCCATAGTACTTTTCCACACTGGACAGGAGCCGGCTGTCCCTGGGGTGGGGGGTCACACCTGCCCACGCCCGCCCAGCTGGTGGCCACGACACCCCTGAAGAACAGCCCCACCCTCCTCCCAGGACCCTACAACAACACCCCGCCCCTCCGGCCACCTGAGGTCCCCACTGGGGCGGCCTGAGGCCCAGGTCTAGGGACAGGAAGCCCCAGGCCTGGCGGCCTTGAAAGCCTCTTTCAGCCTGGGCTGCCTCCCGCCACCGACTCCTCCTGCCTAATAATATTTGGGCTGTTGGCCGGGGGGCGGGGGCCAGATCCGGAGGCCGCCTGGGAGAAGCCAGAAACCGCAGGGCTTCCTGCCTCGGGCTGCCTGACTCCGGGAGAGACCCCCAGGCCCGAGGGAGGGGGCGGGCACCCAGGGAGACTGAGGGCCTTTCTCTGGGCTCCAGTTGTTTTTTCCAGGAACCAGGAGGAATTCCCCAGCCTGCCCAGGACAGCAAGACTGGTGGGACGGCTGACAGGGAGCCAGCGCGGCAGGGGGTGGGGGTGACACGCAGCCGGGCAAGGCGGGCACAGCGACAGAAATAGAGGCAGGGCGGCCTGCGGTGGCAGGTAGAGGCGGAAACTCAGGGAACTGGGGAGGGACGGAGGCCAGAGAGCCAAGGAAGGAGGGCAGGAGGAAGAGACAGGAGCCTAGGAGGGGCAGGAGATGAGCCCCAGACAGGAGGGACAGTCACTGCCACAGGGAATCTGAGACAGAGGGGACAGGGCTCCGGCTCCAACAGAGCAACACAGTGTCACCAACTAAGATCAGACCCAGAGGGTCAGGGACACAACCACAGAGAGAGCGAGGACACTGTAAGATAAACGGACAGACGGAGACATGGAAACTGAAGGACATCACACACAAAATACACACTACACATGTAACACCTGCTTTATACACATATGACACACCAGACACGTACTATACACAGCACACACTGTATACATCACACACTCACTGCACATCAAACACACCACCTCCACACTCCTAAACATATGCACATACAGGCGGATAAGCAAAGAAGTCCATCTTTGCATGAAGTGAATGGCTGTCTAAATAACTGAAGGAATGAATGGCCATGAATAAAAAAGTTAAAAAAAAAAAGCAAATATCCCATCTCCATCCGCTCCCCGAGCCACATCACGGAGACAGCAACAGCCCAGCCAACACTGACCCTCCCCGGCTGCTCCCAGCTCACTGAGATGAGCCCAGCTCCTTCCCATTCGAGGCCTCAGTTTCTGTTCTGTGAAATGAGAGGTGAGAAGCGGAGCCTGGTTCATGGATAGCCACTCCTTTGGGACACCTGGGGGGCAGACACACAGCCTCAGAGTGGAGAGAGAGACTTGGGGGAGCAGTGACACCCAGGCTTCTCCCTCAAGTGAACCCTTCCTGCCCACCCACCCTGGAGAGAAAAGACACATTGTAGGGCAGACTGACCTTCCCCGCACTGACACACACAAACACAACAGGGTCAGACACACAGCAAAGATGACCTTCTCTCTCTCTCTCTCTCTCTCTCTCACACACACACACACACACACACACACACACACACACACAGAGTTGTAAGGGCATAGCTTATCCTCTGGCTGATCTCCAGTGCACATGAAGTCACACGCATACTCTGGTCTAAACTGCCACCCAGAGACAACTACCTAATTTTGTGAGCCCCAAGAGGGGCCTGGAGATGGATGCCCATGAAGAGCCACAAAATGCAAAAACAATACAGACCCATAGCAAGAATCTGATGTCCTGAGACACACACGCACGTACTCAGAGGGTGAATGGATACACCAACCTGGAGACTGGGGTCACCCACACATTTGAGGGACACAGGCAATAGGTAACACACTGTAGCAGAATAAGGGGACTCTAGTGAGCAGGTCAGGTCTTATGACTGTCAGACCCTCACCACACACACACACACACACACACACACACACACACTGCTAACCAACTCCAGTGCACCCACATTGTCTCCAGTTTTGAGTAACACTCGATTTGTCCCTTCAGCCCCTGCCCAGCTTAGCCTAAAATTGAGTAACCCCCAGAGGGACCAGCACCAGGTGAGTATCTGGGAGGTGGGGGTGGGGAGATGGCCTTGGTCACTCCAGAGTCACCTCCCCCTGTTGCCTTGGCCCCACACTGCGGGGGCTGCTATCTTTAAACAAACTGTCCTTAGGGTCAGGGACAGCGAAGAGCCAAAGGTCGGGTCGATGCCGCTTACAACCCCCTCCCCCAGTGCTAGGAAGGAGAGGGGACAGGGGAACAGAAATTCAGGTGACCAAGCCCCACAGGGCACAACCACCAAAGAAGAAAGACTTGCTGAATGAGGCAGAAACGGTGCCTTTAATGGTCAAACACAGCCAGTACCCCGCTTCCCAGGCAAGAACCAGACCTCAGTAGAAATTCCCTACTCCCTAACTGGCCCTTTTTTTCTGATTTCTTCTGGACCAGAGGAGTGGACTGGGCTCCAGAAAAAAGAATCAAGGAGCATTCCCACATCCATTCTCTACCCAACCCACACCAATGAGATAGTAATGGCATTGCCAACACGGGGGGCTGCCATGGTGTTGCCAACACAGCGCACTCTTGATGTCAGCCAGCCAATGTGGTGGCATCACAGTGTGCGACGGGCTACACTGTGCACTGATATGTCGGCCAGCCAATATGGTGGCATCACAGTGCCAGATGGACCCAAGAGAGTTGACAGGTAAGACACCAGCCCCCGTGGCACCTCCCCTGCCAAGAAATCCACCCAGAAAGAAGTGATCACACCACCCAATGGGTCAACCAAGAAGATGGCCACCAGAGGGACCAACCAAAGTGGCACTCCAGATGGTGGGTGTCAAAGTACCGAATGGATCAACCAATAATATCAATCAACATGGCAGACTTCACAGTACCCAGTGGGCCCACCAAGATGGCAACAGTGTCCATTACAGTACCCGGTGGAGCAACAGGACGCCCTCAGAAGTGGCGGCCGTCACAGCTAGCAATAGACCAACCTAGATGGTAACTGGTGGGACAAGCAGAGTGTTCCCCAGGGGGGTCGGGCTCTGAGGGCCTCATGGTGTGAGCTCCAGGCATATCCCACCCATCGTGCTCCCACCTCCCCTGCTAGGATGCATTGAGCAGAGAGCGGGAATAGAGACCCTGATAGTAGGCCCCGGGCTCCCCACCTTCGGCCCCAAAAGCCCCAAAGCCCATGTCCAGTTTGGGAGGCGCCGGTGTCTGTTCCGACATCAGGTTGTTGATGGAGAAAGGGTGGTTGAAGTTGTAGGGTGCATCCAACTTCAGCTCCCCAGGAAGCTCCAGGCCAGTGAAGTAGGGTGTGGAGGAAGTGGGCGAACCACAGTCCAGGGCCCCCATGTCTTCGCCACCCTGGGCCTCGGCCTCGGGGAGTGGCGGCTGGGGCTGGGGAGGGGGGGAGGCGACAGTGGAGGCGGCGGCGGCAGCAGCAGTGGTGGTGGTGGAGGTGGTGGTGGCGGCCACGGAGCCGCTCCTGGAGGTTGGGGTCCCGCTGCCCCCCTTCTTGGCCTTCTCCTCCAGCTTGAAGCGCTTCTGGCGGCGCAGGTAGCAGCCATTCTCAAACATATTCCCTGAGCTGGGGTGCAGGGCCCAGTAGGAGCCCTTGCCCGGCTTGTCCGGGGAGCGCGCCACCTTGACGAAGCAGTCGTTGAAGGAGAGCGAGTGGCGGATGGAGTTCTGCCAGCGCTGCTGGTTCTCGCGATAGTACGGGAACAGGTCCATGATCCACTGGTAGATCTCGCTCAGCGTCAGCATCTTCCCCGGAGCCTGCTGGATGGCCATGGTGATGAGCGAGATGTAGGAATAGGGGGGCTTGGCGTGGGCCAGGGGTCGCCGGTAGCCTTTCTGCAGCTCCTTCCCATGCACCAGCCCCAGGCCTGGGCCCCCGTACCCCGAGCCGCTGCCCCCACTGCTGCTGGCACCCAGGCCTGGGAAAGTGGGGCCCAGGGGGGCTGCAGGGGCTGGGGGCGCCAGGGGACCAGAGGGCAGTGGGGAGGCAGGGAGCCCTGCTGGGGGGTAGGGTGTGCTGAGAGGGTTTAGGGTCATGTAGGAGTTGAGGGGGGCCATGGTGGGCACTGGAGTTACTGGAGAATAGACCTGTAGGAAGAGAAAGAGAGATGGTCAGTAAAGGGTCGCTGGTGTCCAGCTGTCTGTCTTGACTCTTTTTCTATCTCTTCTGTCAGTAAGGGAGCTGTAGTGGCCTAGTAGTAAGGAGTTGTACTGTCAACGCAGAGACTCACGGTTCAAATCCACCAGCTGCTCTGTGGGAGATGGGCAATTTCCTCCCATGAGATTTACAGCCTCTGACAACTCACTGGAGGATCAACTATGAGTCGGTTCCGACTTGACAGCATAAAACAACTTCCATCCTTAACTCTCTCTGTAAATACCAAAACCAAACTAGACCCATAGATGTTGAGTGATTCCAGCTCACAGGGACCCCACAGGACAGGGCAGAGCTGCCTTATGGGGTTGTCGACACTTTGATCTTTTCTCTCTCCCTCCCCGCATTTCTCTTTTTATTGATTTGAGTGAAACTTCACAAAGCAAATCGGTTTTCCACTCAGCCATTCATACACATCTTGCTTTATCACATTAATTTCTATTCCAGCGACGGGGTTGCTTCCTTCTTACTTCCTCCTCGTGATTCCCATTTCCATGAATCCTTTTAGCCTAACCCTTCCTGCCTTCAGGGCTCTATCCTGGGCCACATGCTGTTCTTTGGACCGTATATGGTTAGCTACTCTCATGGGAGAGTGTCCACCTGGTGTTACTTACTGATCACTTTACAGACCTATTGTTTGGCTGAAAGTTGAACCACAAGGGTGAAATTTTTTCCAGGTTCGAGAGTGACTAAGTGTTGGGGTTTTCCCCAATCCCAATCAACAAGTCAGTTTTTTTAGTGTTTCTGAGTTGTATCTTTATGGATACAGCCTGCCTCACCTTTCTTCCTTGGAGAAGCTGGTGGGTTTGAATCATGGAACTATTAGCAACTAATGCTTAACCACTGAGCTACCAAAGCCTTCCTCTCTGTAGAAGGCTGCTTCTTTCTTTCTTTTTTTTTAAATTTTATTTTATTATTTTGTGTGTGTACCATCAAATCGATCTGACTGGTACAGGAGGAGATTGCCCCTCCTTCTCCAGCAGAGCATCTGGTGGATTCAAACCATGTACCTCTGGGAAGAAGGCTGCTTCTTACTTCTTAATCTCTCTCTCTCTCTCTCTCCACTTTCCTGCTTTCTCTTCCCTGTGCTTTCAAGCACCCAAACTCCATCTTTAAGAGGCTCTCAAAGTCTGGGGAACTCTACCAAGTCCCTAGGAGTCTCCCAGAGCGTCCAGGACATCAAAAGGGGGAAGTAACAGTTCAGTGATAGAATTCTTGCTTTCTACACTAAAGACCATGATTTTATTGTCATCCACTGCACCTCAAATACAGTCACCACCCATGTCAGTGGAGACCATGTGGTGTCATGATGCTGAATGGGTTTTGACAACGCTTCTAGACTAAGATGGACTAAGCAGAAAGACCTGGTGACCTGTTCTCCAAATTCAGCCAGTGTAAATCCCGTGGACCACAAAACCTGGATTTCATAAGGAATCATGGAGGTACAGAGTATAAAAAGTAGAGATGCTAACCAATAGGTCAGCAGTTCAAATCCACCAGTTGCTCTGTGGGAGAAAGAGAAAGCCGTCTCCTCCTATGAAGGTTTACAGCCTCGGAAACACATGGAAGGTTGTATGCATAGGAACTGACTTGATAGCAGTGAGCTTGATTTTCAAGGGAGTGCCATGAGTGAGGCCAACTTGACAGCAACTAGTAACAATGACAACAAGGTCAAAATCATTTACATAATTAATTTAGATATGATTTGCCTTTTCTCTCTCCAGAATATTTACAGAGGCATTTTCCAAAGCGATATGACACCTCTATGAGGTGGATTGATTCAGTGTGACTGGGGTAATCAGGATGGGTGTGTCAGAGGCAATGCGATTGGCACAGGATAGAGCAGGGTTTAGGGCTGTTGTACATAGGATCACTATGAATCGCAAACGACTCGACAGCATATAAAAACAATAACATATGACATGAGCTATTATTACAGAAAGAAAGCAGAAGCAGCTATATGATCATCCAGTATCTTCTACTGAACTTCTACTACTGAGGGACCCTGGTGGCATAGCAGGTTATATACTGGTTCAAATCTACCAGCTACTTTGGGGGAGAAAAATGAAGCCGTCTGTCCTTGCTGGGATCTACAGCTCTGGCAACCTGAATGAGGGTCTCCAGGAGTCAGAATAAACGCAGTGGCATTCGGTGGGTCGGCTGACCCAGATACTGGAAAAGATTCTTAAAAATGCAAAATAATGCCACTCTTCTATTATTTGTGGATATATAGTTATTTTAATTTTTAAAAATACTATTTAGTGCTTGCTTCGGGAGCACATATACTAAAATTGGGACGATACAGAGAAGATTAGCATCACCCCTGCACACACAAATTCATGAAGCCTTGCATATCTTTTTTAAGAAAAAAAAAGCTATTTATACAAACAATGCTCTTTTGCAATTAAAACGAATAGAAAATGAATCTGAAAATGTGCTGTTTTGGAGCTCTGGTGGCCTAGTGGCAAGAAGCTGTGCTGCAATCCCAAAGGAACATGGTTCAAATTCACTAGATGCTCTGCTGGAGAAGGAGGGGCAATCTCCTCCTGTACCAGTAGGATCCAATTTGACAGCACACAACAACAGAAAAAAGAAAGAAAAAAAAAGAACAAGTGCAGTTTTAATTTTTAAATAATGCACGTGCAGTTGCCTCCTGTGTGAATGACTGACTTTAAAACCCGCTGAAGGGTCAGTTTAGAGTGGGTTCCAACCTGATGGCATACAATGACAATAATAACATACACAGGTTAGGAGCCTTGGTGCAGTGAGTTAAGAGTTTGAGGCTGCTGACTGAAAGTTCAACGGTTCACACCCATCAGCTGCTACAAGAAAAAGAAGGTAATCTGTTCTGTAAAAATGACCAGCTTGGAAACCCTCTAGGGTGGTTCTCCTCTGTTGTACAGGGTCATTATCAGCTGAAATGGACTTGAGGGCAGTGAGTTTGGATATGTATTGTTGTTGTTATGTGCCGTCGAGTCGTTTGCGACTCATAGCACCCTATGTACAACAGCCCTAAACCTTGCTCTATCCTGTGCCAATCTCATTGCCTCTGACACACCCATCCTGATTACCCCAGTCGCTGAATCAATTCACCTCATAGAGGGTCTTTCCCTCCTGCGCTGTCCCTCCACTCTGTCTAGCATGATGTCCCTCTCTAAAGACCTGTCTCTCCTTACAACATGTCCAAAGTATGTCAGATGAAGCCCCATAATCCTTGCCTCCAAGGAGCAGCCTGGTTTAACCCTCTCTAAGATGAATCTATTTGTTTTCTTGGCAGTCCATGGTACATTCAATACTCTTCTCCAGCACCACAGCTCAAAGGCGTCAATTCTCCTTCTATCCTCCCTAGTCATTGTCCAACTCTCTGATGCATAACAAGTGATTGCAAAAACCATGGCCTGTATCAGGCACACCTTAGTCTCCAGAGAGACACCGTTGCTCTTGAGTATGTATATATTCCCTTAATTACGACAGAGGGATCTCTAGTAGTCTAACAGCAAGAAGCTACACTGGAATCCCAAAGGCACGTGGTCCCAGCCCACGAGCTGCTCCATAGGAGAAGGACGGGCAATCTTTGGTGCAGTTAACTGCCTCTGAAAACCCACTGGAGAGTCAGCTATGGGTCGGTTAAGACTTGACTGTAAATAACAACAAACAAATAAACAACAATTGTGACAGGGAACTCTGGTGGCCTAGTGGTGAGGAGTTACACCGCCCACTGAAAGGCAGGTTCAAATCCAAAGAGAAAAATGGTCAGTCTCCACCCATGCAATTGATAGCCTCTGAAAACCCACTGGAGGGTCAGCTATGAGTTGATTCTGACTCTATGGCACATAACAACAACAACAACAACAACTTAGTACAGATTCTTAAGTTGGCCCTGACATAAGAATAGTTCATTGTTTAAAAAGTCTTCATTATTACTACCTTTTATTATACTTCTTCATTATTAATACCTTTTTTATAGTTATCTTTATAAATCCCACCCTTATTTGTCTTCAGGGGTTAGAAGCATTGCTGTAATTCTGTATGTAGCACACAGCAAGCCACTGCCTTCTGGTTCTCCTGCCTCACAGTGACCCTGACGGACAGAGGAGAACTGCTCCACCGAGTCTCTGAAGCCGGGAAGCATTGTGGAAGTGGACTGCCTTAGCTTTCTCCGCTGCTAGTGCCAAAATGTACAGAGAAATCCCCACATGATGGTCAGAAGAGTGCTGCGTCATCACCCGGAAATGTTCTAAGTCTGAGACTACTTTGATCAATAGACATAATCCATCAACTTTTTAAGATCCTCAGTAATTTCTAGGAGTATAAAGAAGTCCTAGGATCCCCAAAAATGAAATGACAGTTTCTAATCTATTTTTTTTTTATGTGTGTACCTCAAATTGGATCTGACTGGTACAGGAGGTGATTGTTCCTCCTTCAGCAGAGCATCTGGTGGATTTGAACCGCGCACCTCTGGGATTGCAGTGCAGTTTCCTGCCACTAGGTCACCAGAGCTCGCCTATTTCCCTCTTTATCTCTCTCTCTCTCTCACACACACACACACTTACATTTTAAAAAGAGTCAAAGTATTTGAGTAACAGAATTCATGTGCTTCACCGTAATTCTATCACCTATTCACCACCTAAGGAGCTCTGAGGGCTTACTTAGTGTGTTTACATGTTTCACTGCTAATCCAAAAAGGTCAGTGGTTCAACTCCACCAGCTGCCCTGAACAGGAATGACGAGAAGTCTCATCCCATCCTGTGACAATTTACAGCCTCAGAAACCTCATGGAGGGCTGCCATGGCTTGGAACCGATCAACAGCAGTGGGTTTGTGGTGTTTAGTTTGTAATCAAACTCCAAATTCTCAGTTGCACTGTTCTTTGATGTATCAATACTGGTTTCCATCATGTAGATTCTGACGGGTCATGACCCTAAAACCCACTG